GACCAATCAACGCGTACCCGAATATGACGTAGGCAAGGACATGCGCAAGCTGAACGAGTTTTAGACAATTGATGAGCATACCCTTGTATTTTTATCATGTACCAATCGAAGTTCTCCGTTTCTTTCCCTTCCATGTAATAGAAAACCCCGCTTAAACCTTATGTCCGCTTACAGCTATATTTGACGTAAGACGAAATAACCTGAATTTTTGGAAATTTTAAAAAAGTAACCGAGGGAAAGAATCGAAGTCCTTGGGTGTATATACAGCAACAGTAAAATCTGTAAAAATTATGGAAGAAGTATATAACAGTTTATCGTATCGTAAAGTAGAAATTAACGGATTTGGATTTAAAAAAATAACTACACTACTGAAACAAAATTAAAAATTCGGTAAATATTGACGAAAGGGGACCCAGCCCCAATGACTTTGATCTATGCGTTGTCAAGGTCATTGAGGCTGGGTCCCCTTTTGTTAATATTTTTATGAAAAGTTTACTTATTCCATTCCTTAAAAAGAGACAAATTTTAAGATAGCGTAACCGTCAAAAATCATCGTAGCGAGATGTCTAAAAAAGCATTATAGTTTGAATTAATCTTTATTTTTCAGATGTGTAAGGAACAGAAGTATTTGCAAAGAAAATTTTGCGTTAGTTGGTGCTTTTTGTTTATTATTTATTGATAATATTGATAACTATATTTGTAACTATATTAATTATTATATACGGCGATCTTCCAAAACATTAATCACAAGTTTAATAAGTTAAAACATTTATTGAAGAAAATATCATTGGACATTACTATTTTACATGCAAAATCTCTGCGAAATAAGAATTCTGTTACGTATACCGAACATGTAAGTTTAAAATAATTGTTTGCTTACCGACTCTTATTTTTCTGTTCTTTATTTTAAATAATTAAACCTCTGGAACGTTCTCTGAAAAAAGCATTTTGAAGAGAATATTAATTTTTATTTTATACCAATATTTTCTTATATGGTAACCTTAATTGCATTTAAGGCAACTGCCGTAATATCGGAATGCCAGATGCTAGATACCTCACGTAGAATGAGGTGCCACGTGATGAAGCGCGAATAGTAAAGTTGAACGAGCACACGAACGCGACGAGTACAGAAGTATGACACGCTACATGATATGTTTATATTTTACAAGGTATACTTTATTAATTGCAGTTACATATATGCGTTTGCATTTTTTTTGCTCCACATGCAAATTACTTACACAAATGCTCCATAAAAGGAAAAAAGAAAAGAATGTACCGACGATTTTCGCATAGCCTCTCTATTTGCGTGGCGTAATATGGATATATATGCAGAGTGTCTGGTAAGTTTTGACAAAGCGCTCGTGTAGATAGAACGGATTAAACACTGAGTCGATCGAAAAGTTCTCTACCACACACACATTTGCAATAGTTAACAAGATATTAATTATTAAAAATCGCTGAATATTGGTTTTCAATAATTTTTTACTCAAATACTATCAACTTTACAGAAAAACAGGAGACAAAATTTGTTTATTTTCTTTTCATAAAGTTCCGAGAATTTTTTCAGAATTTTTAAATACCGTATTTTCTCATGTTGGTGCCAATAAGAAAATGCAATACTATAAAAAGTTGATAAAAAATTCTGAAAAAATTTGTAGTTCTATGAGAAAAAATAAATAATTTTTGTTTTTCTGTAAAGTTTTCGCTGTTTTTCTGTAGTTGATAGTATTTGAGTAAAAAATTATTGAAGACCAATATTCGGCAATTTTTAGTAATTAATATCTTGTTAACTATTGCAAAAATTGCAAAATGGTAAAAGACTTTTCGGTTTATCCGCTCTATCTACACACGAACACTTGGTTAAAACTTGCCAGATACTCTGTGTGTGTGTGTATATATATATATATATATATATAATATGTATATATATGTATATATATATATATAATTTTTTCATTTATTTACGTATTTATGTAATGCGTGAGTCCATAAGAAATACTTAATCGTTATCGATATTCATAATCTACATTGTCATGATCATGGTCGATGTCGCATTTAAGCATTGATCGACTGTTTTTCCTCTTGTTTCTTTCTCTTTTTTTCTTCTTTTTCTTCTTCATGGATGTGTAACACTAATCTAGATCACAGTCGTTTCCGCTTTGCAGTCGAGTAAAGAGATGCGATTAATGCTCCGATGAATGAAGGTGAATGAGGGAAAGGAAGAAAGAGAGAAAGAGAGAAAAAGAGAAAGAAAGAATGTGTGAGCGAGAAAGAGAGAGAGAGAGAGAGAGAGAAATAGGCGGTGGTTATTATTGGTTATCGTTCATCATTTCCAATTAAGCAAACAACCTTCCCCTCTTTCTTTCTTCTCTTTCTTCGCGGGTTCGGAAACTGGTAAGATAATGACAAAAATCTGAAATCGCGCTTTGCTTATTTACAATGAAACTCGTGTTCTCTTTAAATAATCTTTTCCTTTCTTTTCTCTCCGGGTGAGAATGAATGGAACTAAAGGAGATTCGATTGCTGTTGAATCCGAAATGAAGAAGAAAAAAAGATGAAAAAGAGAGTTAATCTTGTTACTATTTCTTTCCACATCTCTTTACATTTCGAATTTAAATCAAAATCGAATCTTTTCTAAATCCATCTTCTCCTTATAAGATTTTTTCCTTTTGGCTGTTTTTCTTTTACAATGACGATGCTTCGATGAGGATGCTGGCGCGTGTTACATGCGTATGTAAGTAATGCCATTATTTACAGAAAATGCACACATTCATACCACGTTTACCTTCCGCTCTAGACTTTACTATGTAGGCGACAAACGATGAGAGCGAGTGATTTCTGTTCTCTTTTCTTTTCGTAGTGAAAAACACATGACGGGATGATACCAATAGAGTATGCCGATCAATCGAGCCGATTATTGAGAAGGAAATAAAAAAACTGTCGGATGTTTTTTCTGTATCTTGTTTTGCTTTTTTTGTCGAAATTTTTATTAACGAGAGAACAACAGTTGAGTAAAAGTTAAATCGACTAGAACATTGATTAGAGTAAAAAGACCATCTCTTCGGTTTAAGTAAAGTCACAGTTTCAACGTAAAATATAAAAAGATAGGGTGGAAAAGGAATAAAAAAAAAATGAAATAAGAGAGAGAAAGGAATAGCAAAGAGAAAATCTGGTGGAAAAAGAAAGGGAAGAAACAAAGAATGAGAAGTAAAGAAAGGCAGAGAGACAAGTGAAGAGAGCTGGCGACAAAAGTGTTCGTATCGAAGTTTGATCGGTGAAGTATCACCATTGACGGAATAAACAACAGAGACGGACAGACCGAGATAAAATTGGTAGATAAATAGGTAGAAGATAGACAGACAGACAGACAGACAGACAGACAGACAGAAAGAGTGAGAGAGATCATTTTTGTAACTGTCCTAATCTAATTAGTCGTAGAGTATAGGAGAATTACCAATAATAAGAATAACCATGATAATCATAATAATTCTAACGTCGTTAGTATCGATAAGTATATTATAATAGTTTAGCTTTTTTTTACTTTTTGATAACGTTCC